ATACCCATTCATTCAGTGTATTCAGTCAGATGAAGACTGTAAAAGCCCTTTCTCAATAGCGGCAGCTCAGGGTAATGGGACAAAGGCAACTTTGGAGCTGGGGATCTTCAGCTTCAAATCTCAGCTCCATCTCCCTATTAGCTTATGACCAAATTACATGCCTTAGTTTTTCCATCTGAAAAATGCAATCAATGGTGATTCGACACACAGCATGGCTTTGAATGTTCCAGAAAGAAGTGCATGAGCTGGAACTAGCAGGTCCTGCCCTTTTAAGACTCAGTAAATGGGGGCCCAATGTCCTCATCGTGTGACCATTAGCGTTTTTAATATGAAAGTGTGGGTGGTGTGGCCAGTTTTTCTGGCCTCAGAGCACCCACGACCCTTCCCCTTGCCCTCAGCATCCCCTTCTGAGAGCTGTCTGCCGAGCCCTTGGGCATGGCCTGGTACTCACCTGCTGGCAGCTGCTGGCCCAGGAGGCCCGGAGGGCGCCCCAACCCCCAGAACGCTTGGCCTTGCTCTCCAGGTGCATCCGCAGCTGCGTCTCCATCTCCTGGCTGACTTGCTCGAGGGCGTGCACCTTGGCCATGTACTCCACCAGGCAGCCCCCTAGGTCCTCCACAGAAGCATGGTCCCTCTCCAGGCCCGGAGCAGGCACCGCCGCCAGGCCTGAGCTCCGCAGGCCCTGCAGGAACACACTGCTGATGCCCAGGGCCCGGCGGGTCACCCGGGCACCCAGGCCACCTATGCCCCCGCTGGGCGTGGTCCCTACATAGACCCCAGGGGTGCGGATGAGGCTGCCCATGACATTGGTCCTGGAGGCTGGGGGGCTGTCCAGGGAGGACGATGATCGTGTCCCCCTGAAAGATGTCCTGCGCCTCTGGAGGGGCATGCTGGAGCTGGTGCCGGCGGGCGAGTCCACCACCACCCTCCTCTCACTCATCACTCCTCTGCCTCTGCGGCGCCCAGCAGGGTTAGGTTAGAGTCCAGTGGCTTTTGGGTTCCAGCCCCAGCAGCCCTGTGGCCTGGTCATGGGCCTCTCTGGAAGCTCCCCTACCCCGGGGGCTCTTTGTCTGCTGCCTTCCATGAGCTTCCACCATTCACTGAGCTGAAAGAGCAATGGGCCCTGCCCAGGGCTGCGTGCAGAAAGGCGCTCATGCGTTCTCTGATGCGGGGTCAGGTGCCCAACCTCCCAGAGTTTTCTACTGGTGGTGGGGGAGGCTGGGTCAGTGCAGGCTGTGGGGGCGGCTCGTCGGGGCTTGTTGATCTCACAACCGGAGAGAGGGCAAAGTAGGCCCCCCCGCCGCCCCATTTCACAGGTTACAAACTGATGCCCCAGGGGGACCTCTGATCACAAGTGTAAAGATCACTTTCCCCAGATTTCAGCTGCAAGCCAGGACTCTACATAGGTGTTTCAGAGCCAATTCTGATGCTTTCCACCTTCCTACATGTGCTGGTGTGGGGGAAGATGCACAAATACCTGACAGGTGATTGAAGTGGAGAATGGACCGGAACCAGCCCCACAGGAGGCAGTCTGCTGCTTCTTCCCTGCTTCTCAGCTCCAGAGTAGCAGTTTCAGGTCCCTCCCTAATTCAGGTCCCTCTCCTCATTCTCATCTCTGCCCTCCAAGAGTCTGCACTTGACCTTCTGCTTGACCTTCTGGACTTCACTTCCTCAGACTCGATGATCTTTTTTATTTTTTAATATTTTTTTAGTTGTCAATGGATCTTTATTTATCTTTATCTGGTGCTGAGAATCCAACCCAGTGCCTCACACATGCTAGGCAAGCGCTCTACCACTGAGCCACAAYCCCAGCCCCTCTGATGGGCTCTTGARCAAGTTTAGATCCCATGTATTGGACACCTGCTTGCTCCCTCTGTCCCCCACGCTGCCATTTCCCCATTTATCAGAAAACTCACAAACAAAAACAACCAAGAGAGTGATTTCTGGTAAGGTCTCCGAGGGAGCTCCAGGTTAGGATTTGGTGGGATCCTCTGGGTTCTAGTTCCTACCCTGAGTGGTCACTAAGTCATGCTGTCAAGGTTGACACCCCAGTCCCTTCCAGAGGATCAGAAAGRTGCCTCCAGCCCCAGGGATGATAAAATGGACTTACAAATCACTGCACTGAAGTTTTGCCCTGGAAAAACCAGATGGCCCAAACGTAGAGCTGGATATTTATGAAATGTGGAAATGTGCCTCAGGTGAGACAAGAGGAAGGAAGACAAATTCCATTCCAGTGCCATACCTGATTCCATCTTTGTTTCACTGAAATCTTAATTCTACCTTAGAAGATGAGTTGACATGTATGGCTGTTCGGGCTGTGTCCTGCACAACTCATGATCACCTGTCTACAGTTGGCTATTGTCCCCCTATGTGATAAGAACTGAAGTGACTCGCCTAAGGTCCTTTGTTCAGAAAGTAGCAGAGCTAAGCTGAGAAGGCTTCTTCTGACTCCTAGTCCAGGAACTTATTTAGGACCCTCTCTGGTGCCCACCASCCAGAAAGCAGAGCACCTATCTGAGGTCACACAGGCAAAGTTAAAAAAATCTGGTTGCRGGCTGGGGATGTGGCTCAAGTGGTAACATGCTTGCCTGGCATGTGCGGGGCGCTGGGTTCGATCCTCAGCACCACATAAAAATATTAAAAAAAAATAAAGATGTTGTGTTCACCGAAAACTAAAAAATAAATATTAAAAGTTTTTTCTCTCTCTCTTAAAAAAAAAATCTGGTTGCCTACCAGAATGTTCCTGTGTGATTAGGATACCATAACCCTTCCCTCTGTCTTTGTTTCATTTCCCCCTTCCACATTGTCTATTTGAGATGACATGGAAGGTACTTTATAAATGCAAATGTTTGCTATTTGATTAACAGATGGAGGAGCCCTCTGGATAAGTCAAGGCCAGTAGGACCCTGGTTTATTTGGGTGTGGCATCCCTGCAGCGCACAAGAAGGGCCCATAGTGCACTGGAGACTGTATCACAATGACATCCTCCTGCTACAGGTGATRTTGGCTGGGTCCTGAAGATCTGTACTCTATCAATTCCAGGATGTACCTACCAGGCTAACTGAAGGGATCAAGCTACCCATTAAAATGTTGGCAAAGGTGTCATGTTCATGCACTGTTATTGCACCAAATGGTAACACTCAGTTGCCAGGTTAATTTACAGGTCTTTCTGACTCAAGGATATTTACCATAAATCCACAGAGTGGAGAATGGGGAAGGAAGGTACCCTGATGGACACCAACCACCCACCCCAGAGACCCTAAGAGAGAGGATTCTCCTCTGGAAAAGTCACAAGCATGTTCTAAAGGACCCRCTTTACCCAATGACACACTGCTCATCCTATTATCTCATCATACTCACAAAACCCAACTTCACGTGCAAGCAGATTAAAAAACACAGATGGACACGTACAAGCGAGACTTGAAAGTTATTTTCYGATGAAAAAGAAGGCAAAATATATTAGCGACTGAATCCTTTGGGTAATAAAATAAGTTTATTTATATATCCATGGTAGCGGAATTCTGTGGGTACGGAAAAATAAGTCATACATCCACAAATGTATATATAACATATGTATCCTTGATTACATATATTATATATAAATTTTACTTTACAAACAGATTTCTCACTCTATGTACTCACACACGTTGATATAGTCAATGCAATAGCTAAAGAAACATGAGAAGGTTAAGGTCAGAGAACAACATAGACAGTAACAGAGAAAACAAATCTCAGGGCAACATTTAACCTGCTCCTTTGGGGTCTGAGAGACCACAGAACTCGGGTCGAGGAGGTTCATACAGACATCGAGAACACACATTTTCGAAGGCCATCTTGCTTTTTTGAAAAAGGGCAACGTGGGTGGGAAGGAGAAAGTCATGGTAAGAAGACCACAGTAAGTAACAACACAAACGGATGAACCGACATTCAATTTCAATTCCCAATCTGCCTATAAGAACATCTATATTCAAAATAGACTATCAAACTATTTTTCTTTTTTTAGAGAAAGGAAGCGTCAAAGCAGTTATCTTCTCTTCTAGCCACTCTTAGGAAAATATCAGAGGAGCAGCCACCTCTTGAAGCCCCCTCTTGTGTGGCTGAGAGTCTGAGCCTCACTGGTGCTGGTCGCTGGGCACCGTGGGAGTCCGGAGGCAGCCTGGCRGGATGCGGGGAGCAGGAGAGAGAAAGGAGGGCAAAGGAAGAGCCCATAGCAGATCCTTGGGCCCAAGGGGCARGAGGGTCTGCAGTACCTCTGCAGGTGGACGGAACCAGCTTCTGGCTTCTCCCAAGTGGCTGGCTTTGGCAATCTGGTTTGCTTTAGGAGTGCAGGAGGAAGGTTTCAAAAGTGGCAAGCCCTTAGACCTGCTCCTTGGGACACAATACCATCATCACTTTTGGAGAAAACCCCAAATGAACATCTGATCCTTAAGGAAGGGCGAGTGTTCTAAAGCTCCAGGGTTGGGACCTGTGCCTACACCCTCCCCGAGAGAAGAGGTGCCATTGTGGGATGCAGATGTGGGGCTTCCAGGGACGGGAGGTCCTGTGGTTGGCCTGGCGGGAGCACCCATGGGGTGATCACAGGGCAGGCGCCTTAGGATGCTTCCACGTCCTCCTTGGATCTCCTGAGGGTGGTCGGCTCCTGCCTCCGCCTACGACATTGGCATTGAACTTGACATCCAATGGTGTCACCGCGAGTCCCCAGGGTTCCTGTCCTCCAGGGTGAAGACATTTTTGCTTTTCCTGCTTTGGTTTGAGTATGCTGTACCTCGTGCTCCTCCTGGGTGGCCCAGTCCCCTTCATGCATGTGCACATGAGGAGGAAGGAGACGGGTCTCGAATCTAAGGAACCGGAGTTTTAGGAATCAGGCAACAGACCATGCCCTTGACCACTTTAGCATTCTGCTTGTCCAGGAGGTCGGTCTCTTCCCTCACCTGCCCGGGCTCCTGCGACTCCCCGAGGGCTCAGAGACAGTTATCAAGAGAAGCAACTGATGCCACTGCTTTGCTTAGAAATACCTTTATTTTATAAAGCCACGGGTCATTCTGTAAAGTTTGTTTTTTTTTTTTCTGATTTTAAACCACACTTATAAAAAAGATGTTGACAATTCTTAGGAAAAAAAGCTGAAAATGTTTCTCATTAAGTCAGGGTTACACAAAGGTTATATTTATAATATATATATTTGTATATTTATCATTTAGAGATGAAAAATAGGGAACGGCAGAGTGAAGGCTGCTGCAGCTAGATCTCGGACACTTGATCGTTTCCCACGAACAGTGTCTCTTGACAGAAGGGGTTCACGAGGACCATCCCCGTGTCTCGATAGTCGCCGTTGGCTGGGGACCGRGGCTCTGAGAGCTGGTCCTGGGGAGAGAGAGGGAGGAGATGCTGTGAGCTGGGGAAGGTGTTCTCAAACAAATGCACACAGAGGAACATTTATTTCAGGATCGCTTGGTATGCGTTTGTCACCTCTACTGCCAAGGCGGGGGCGCACAGTGCTCTCTGCTGTTCTTTCAGATTTTTTTTCTAACAACTTCCAAAAAAGGCTTCCTGCTTTCTGAGTTACCTCTACCCTAAGGTTGCCAGAGATGGTACTGCTTTCCTTGACTAAGTCTGAGAGGGGCTCACCGTGCAGGACAGACATCGTGTGTGTGGCTTGCTTCCTTCAAGGGCAAACATTGGTTCACTTGGACCTCAGACTCTACTTGTGTCTTTCTCATAGATCTCTAGGAGACGTCTCTGCTCTTCCTTCCTGAACGCACCTAYGTCCACTCACTTCTTTCCTCTCCTGTCACCCATCAGAGTCTTTGATGTCCAATTTCTCCTCCTCCACCTGACCCTCTCAGAGCCTGTTCAGGATTATTGCCCAGTTTTTTGTAGCRCTAGAAGCTGAGCTTATAGCTAGAAGCTGAGCTCAGGGAACCTGAATCTTTGTGCGATTGTATAATAGATGGTCAGGGAAAATGCTCAAGCCCTGTCTGCTCAACCCCAGGAGCAGGAAAGCCTAGCAATAGGCAATCCATGCTCAGAAGGCAATCTGATTGCATTGGCAGGGAAGGATCAGGAAGGATCAGRAAGGATTGCCACACCTGTGGGTTGCTAAAGGGCTGTCCTCAGATTCAGGTGCAGGTATTAACCCATTTTGTCCCATTGTCCCAGATTTGGGACACCTATAAACCCTAAAATTGAGGCAATGAATATACCACTTACGGTAACTTTGAGATAATTATTATGTTCACAGAATTGACAGCTTGGGACTCAATGGTTTCATTTAGAAAAAAGGAAGAAAGAAAAGCCACAGCTTATTCCAACACTAAACAAGTGAAATCTAAGACCCTCTGAGCCATTTCAGGGCAAATGAACTCAAGAGCAGACTYAAGGTATAATGGCTCATGCCAGATCTGCCCACAAATATCTTTTTTTTTTTAAGAAGCCACAATTAATTCTCTGTAGTTTATTTTTAAACAAAACATCGATGCTTTTTGAGGAGGGCTGATTGCTTCATGGATCACAAGGAGAGAAGAAACTCCACTGTTGATAAAATATCTTTTCAGGAGACAAGAAGATCYTTCCCAGGTGGGACTTTGCTGAGGAGGGTGGCCCTGGGCCACCTTGCAGTAAAGGACAATAGGGCGGCACTCAGAGGGGACAGAAATCCCTTTTGTCCACCTTGCTGTTGGGCTGAGGGGGTTTGGAGGTTGAAATGTGGTCCACTGGTTTACAGTTCTTCCAAAGTAAGAATGTGCCCTGGGTGAACCACATCATACGTGTCACTGCATAGAAAGAAGGTTATTTAGAAAACAACCAAGGCAGGAAAGGAGAGAAAGAAAGAAAGGAGGAGGAGGAGGAGGAGGAGGAGGAGGAGGAGGAGGAGGAGGAGGAGGAGGAGCAGGAGGAGGAGAAGCAGGAGGAGGAGGAGGAAGAGGAGGAGGAGGAGGAAAAAGAAGAGAGAATAGGAAAGTTACCAGGGAACCCTTGGCTGTCACCATCTTGCCTGTCTAATTCTGGATTTGCTTGGCTGCTTCCATGGACATGGATGAGGAGCAGGGAGCAGAGAAACTTGCTTAGGCAAAGCATTTGGTGCTTCTAAAGCTGATGGCTAAAAGGCAGGGGGTGGGTGATCTGAGAGTGTGCAGCACGGTGGAATTTGCTCCAGGACATCTGGCATGGTCTGCAGCCCACACATGTCCCCAGCTGTCTCTGTCCAGGCTCCGGGCTGCCCTCCTCTGCCCTCAGACAGCATGAGCTCAGATAATTGGAACAAATGGCCATATTTCTCTAAATAAAGCAGAAGTAGGTGAGTAGAGTGCCGGGAGGCGAACAGCACTAAAATCTGCTCTGAACCCAAGCTGAGCTTTTAGCTGGGGCTTGGGTGGCACCCTCCTGTTCTGGAGACCACAAGCAGCTGGGACGGCCCTTTCCACCAGAGGCTTTGGCTTGTGTTGGACGGTGGCCCTGGTGCTCCAGGCTGGAATAATGCCTGACAGTGGAGCTCTGCAAACGGGGACTTTACTGCGGTGAGCTCTGGAGCACTGTCCTTTGGCTTTGGTTTTCATTTACAGATATGCAAAAAGCATATGTGAAATTGGGAGTTCAGGGGCTCATAGCCCACACTCAAAATGGGGCCAGTTAGGGAGTTTCTTTGCCAAGTTAGAATTGTTTTCACTTACTCTAATACAAAATGTGCTCTGTCTCCACTCCAAGTTTATTCCTCCATGGGCCTTCTGTTTGTCCTTTGTTTAATTYATTATTWWTTTTTATTAAGYGACTACTATGTGTKAGGGTAAAYGGCAGTGAACGGAATTCATGGTTCCTTCATTTCATGTGATTTACCAGAGGGCTGCCTTGGGTCAGGCACTGTCCTAGGTGCTGGGAATGGAGCAGTGAACCCWAGGAACAAGGCCCCTGCCCTCAGGCAGTTTATATTACAGCAGGGAATGGAYCAAAACCAGGGCAAAAGAGGGATAAGGATGTGACATTAGAGGGYTCTTATCAGTTCAGAACAGTGAGGGCAAGACTCTCCCAGGAGATGACCTTTGAACAGAGACCAGAAGGGAGTGAGAGATGGAGACATGCAGGAGAAAAGCATTCCAGACAGGTGCCAGGGCAGCGGGCTTCCTGTGTAGGGGGAAGAGCAAAAAGACCAGTGCAAACCCAGCTGCTTGGGAGGCTGAGGCAGGAGGATGGCAAGTTCAAGGCCAGCCTGGGTGACTTAATCAGGAAAATTTTAAAAAAAAGAGATGGTGGTGCTGGGGAGGTAGCTCAGTGGTAGAGCACCTGTGGGTCCAATCCCAGTACCACTAAGTGGCTTGGGGGAGTGTGGGGTGACATGGCAGTGGGCAGGGCCAGCTTCTGAAGAGTCTGTATGGAAGGAGGAGCCCGAATTTTATCTAATGTGTGAAGAGGAGCCACTGAGATKCGGGAGCCTTGGCTGTCACGGGATCTGGCTGGTGGTGGCTGTCTGTCTTCATAGATTTCAGGTGGCCAGATGGTAATGGGGAGCCCCGATTTCAGAGCTGGCTACAGCCATTATGAGGTGGGGTGAGGATGGGCTRGGCCCTGCTGAAGGAAGGATCTGCAGGGCTTCTCAGACTGGGGCGCCARAGGCAAAACCCTCTGCTGTGACGTCTATGTAACAAAGAAACCATGAGAGTTTTGAGTTTGGGGGTGGGAGAGAGGAATGAAGAATTCAGACCTGGGCAGGTGGAGTTTGAGACAATTATTAGACGTGTGTGTGTGTGGCAGGTGGCCGGGCATTTGGGTCTGGTGTTCAGGAGAGATGTCAAGGCAAGAGAGAAATCTGGAGTCAATGGTGTGGCAATAGCAATGGCTTTTCAATTGTGGAACTTAAGTAGAAAAAGAGGAGCCAAGGCAGGACTGAGCCTGGGCTCCAGTGACAAAAGGCCAGGGAAAGACAGGGACTCAGTGACAAACTGGGAAGGAGCTGCCAGGAGTAGGGGAGAGCTGGAGAGGGACATGCAGTGGTGGTGCAYGCCTGTAATCCCAGTAGTTCAGGAGGCTGAGGCAGGAGGATCGTGAGTTCAAAGCCAGCCTCAGCAACTTAGCAAGGTCCTAAGCAACTCAATGAGACCCTGTCTCTAAATAACATACAAAATAGGGTTGGGGATGTGGCTCAGTGGTTAAGTGCAACTGGGTCCAATCCCTGGTACCAAATAAATAAATAAATAAATAATAAGGAGGGGATGGCTGGTTGACTGGCAACGCGGCTGGTAGATGTGGTAAGAAGGGTGCTTAGAACTGACCACTGGGGTTAGCAGTGTGGAATCAACTGGCTATTCCATGTGAGCAGRATCAGACCAGGAGCCACGTGATCACAACTCCATTGAATGCTAAAATGCTAAAATGGACAAGCACAGTGGGCTGAGGCCCTAGGGTAGAAGGCCAAGGTCAGCCTGGCAGGTCAGGGAAGGTCACATGCRGACGGGGCCCTGAATGATGGCAGAGGTCACTGAGGTGAACAAGGGGAGATACAGGAGACACTAAAGGAGAGGGAATGGCCCATGCACAGGTCTAGAGAGCGTGCCATGTCACTTGGTACCATGAGGGATCCCGTGTGGCTGGATCTTAGCAGGTGAGGGGGAGAGCAATGCCAGAATGTTGGCAGGAGGCAGGTCTACTTTGTAAAACACTTTGAACTTTAGCTAAAGGGCAATGGGAAGTGGCAGAAGGGTCTTGGGCATGGAGCTCTGTGGCCACACTGACATTTGTAATGGTCTGCCGGGGAAGTGGGGGGTGTGCCTCCCAAAGAGCTCTTCTCACCCGCCTGCCTGTTCAGAAGTCCRCCATCTTTCTCTTGGCCTGTCTCCACCGCGCTCTAGTTGACCTATTATTTCTGCTTGGTTTTTCTGTCTATTTTCCCATCCATTCATCCATCTACCAAACCACCCTTCTTTTCCTTCCTAATTCATTCTCTGACCACACATGRAGAGCCTTCACCAGGTAACAGCATAATTCTCCTAACCCTGGCTCACCCAGCCCTGGAGACCTCCAATGACCCTTTGCTGCCCCAAAGTAAYGTCCACAATCCGTGATACCCCATCCAGGATCATGCCTCATCTGGCCTCTTCATCCCTCTTTCTTGCTCCCCGCTGCTGTTCCCCCTGCTCCATGGGGAATAAAAAGAGTGTGGACTCCGATCACAGAGTCAAGGCCAGGCTTTCTCACTGGCCAGCCAGTAGCTGCAGGCCAGCTCTCCCAGTGACTTCTCCCTCTCCAGTGCCTTCTCCTTGGTCTGATGTACTACACCTTCACTAGATCCCTTCCTGGACTTAGGCTTCTTCTTTTTCACGAAAACCTGCTTGAAATCCAGATGTCCTTCCCAGCACCTCCCCTGGGCAGGCTTCTCTTCCCTGTAGCTCTTTGTCTGTAACCGGTCCTTGTGTCCCCTAGTCTGTTTCTGAGAGATGCTGGGGTTCATCTCCCAGCCACATCTCAGACTTTGAGCCCCTGAGAAGAAGCTGTCATCTCCATGGTGCCCCCAAAGTGCCTGCYACCAAACAGGTTCTCAATCAGTATTTGTTATTATTCCCGGAAACCAGGAGTGCTAAGAACACTGCTCCTCCAACGTGCAGAAGGCACCTGGGAATTCTTGTTAAAATGCAGATCCTGGTTCAGCAGGGYAGGGGTGGGCATGGCGGCTGCTGCCCGAGCATAGAGCACTGGGATGGGAGGGGGCTCTGTGGCTCTCTCTGAGGGGCCGTGCTGTTCCCTGCACTCCTGGGGGACCTCGAGGTGTGGGGCTCCTTACCTCGGAGGTCTCCAGGGACTGAATCTCCCTGGGCAGCTCCACGGCGTGCCTGTTAAAGTAGTCCATGGTGATGGCGTTGTTCCAGTAGCTCAGGTTGTTCTCGGGGTTGGCTGTCTTCTTCTTCCTCCTCATGCAGCACACAGTCAGCAAGACGGCTGTGGAGAGAGTACAAGTCAGAGAGGGAGGTGACAAGGACAAGGACGGAGGCAATGGTCCTGGTGATGAATGCCCGTCTCCAGGCAGGGCTTGCGAAGGCCAGACATCCTTCCTTCTTCTCTTCYTTTGTCCTTCCAACCAGTATCTATGTATATTGAGTGCCTATCTTGTGCCAGAAACTGTTAAAATTATTGGGGAGGTAGGTGCCGCAGTCTGACTGGGCACAAATCACGAGCCAGAGCCACTCAAACAGGAACAAACTTTATTTCCAAACTCCACCAGCAYACTCCCCGGGAACACTCCCCGGGAACTCTCCACCCATGCGGCTCCTCCAGGAACATACCACACCGGAATTCCCTCTCCCGAACTTCCCCAACCAATTCGAACTCTCCAGGAATCTCCAGGAACTCCAAAGTAGCAGGCTGAGGCGGACAGCAGGGGTCTGATATACAATTGAATCAATCCAGCATCATCTTAATGGCTCGCCTCTCAACTATTACTTCTGGCAAAATGCCAGGGGCCATTCCAACTTGGCTGTGGCTCTCAGCAGGTAGGGGAAGAAGAAAAGGACCCCTAACTTTCCTGAGCATCTATTGCAACACAAGTATGGAGGGATGCAGAGCGGTTAGACCATAATCACAGACAAAATGAATAAATAAGGCAAATTCAGGGAGTCATAACCATTCAATGAAGATAATAGGGCAAAGTGAGAGAGATGATGAGGGGAGCTGGGGGAGAGGCTGATTTAGAATCACCATGATGGGCTGCCCTGAGGAGGTAACCTTAGAGCAGAGAGCCAGTTCTATTGTGGGATGGGACAGTATGTTCTAGCAGGGTGAACAGCATGTGCAAAGGGGCTGAGGTGGGGACAAGCTAATTGTGCAGGAGAACAGGAAGAGCAGCAGTGGAGTGGAATGTGTGTGTGGAGCAGGAGGTGAGGTCAGAGCAGTGTTTAGAGGCTGCCCCAAGGGGCTGAGGGTCCCGGGACTTGCATGGAGCTTGATGATATCTATGGTTACCGCAGGTCTATAGTTTTAGTTGGCCAAGAAAGGTCTTTCCCTTGCTCATCTGGTGGGAAGGCTCCCCAGAGCTTGGCTGCAAATAAGAGTGGATGCACCCTGAGCTGCACCTGTGGACTGAGAGGAGCATTCTCAGCTGGAGCGGAAGTATAGCAGAAAGGGRAGCAGGGCTCAGTGAATTTTATAAAATAAGCCCTTGACTTCTATAGAGGAACTGGAGGGCAGAGGCTCACAGTGAAATCCCTGATAGAACAGCTTTTCTGGCACTATCATGAGAAAAATCATCCCCCCCCCAAAAAAAAGCTGCTAAAATCTATGCAAGAATTATGTTCCAGGCACATTAGAAATATGACTTCATTGCTGGGTGTGGTGGCACACACCTGTAATCTCAGAGACTTGGGAGGCTGAGACAGGAGGTTGCAAGTTCGAGCCTAGCCTAACCAATCTGAGACCCTGTCTGAAAATAAAATATGAAAAGAGCTAGGGATGTGCCACAGTAATAAAGTGCTGGGTTCCATTCTCTGTACCCCCCCATTTTTTTCCATTTAATTCTCCATTTAACGCTTGAGGTCAGTATTACCAGGCTTACTGATTTTATAGATAGGAAAACAGGCTTGGGGAGGAAAAGTGATATGCCCAAGAGCAAACCTAGATACCTGGACTCCAAAGCCCATGCCCTTAAACATCCATGGTTCTGCTCTGGGCAGGTACAGAGGCTCAACTTGTGCAGGTGGCCTGATCAGGACTCAGTGGCCTGACTGCATGCACCCACTGTGACGTGTGGCTCTCTCCGCTTAATTGCTAGGACTCCCAGCCCCCAGGAGGAAGGCACATGTCTGGATTTTGTGGATGAACTAGGTATGGACAGAGTGGCTTGGGCATGCTGGCAGGGAAGGCTTCTGAGGTCATTGAGTAGAGTGGCCTATCCTGATTCACACAGTGGGATGGCAATGCAACAGGGTGATAAAAGTCCTCATGGGGAGAAGCCAGTAAGTGAGGACTGAGTGCATCCTACTCTAGGTTCTCTACCAGTAGAATCTCTGGGTGTGGCGCMGGGGATGGCCAGGGCTGCATGCACCCAACCCCTGGTGGTGCCAATCACTTCTGTGTGAGACAACGGGCAATAAATTGCAATAAGCAATCAATTGAATAACCCTTTAACGGGGGCAGGTTGCGCTGCCAGAGGCCAGCACCAGGGGGCAGCAGAGCACCGGTTCCATCCACAGCAGCCGGAGAGTCTGGCCAGCATTCTGTGGGTCGCATCAGTGCACCAGGCAGCTGCAAAAGCTGGCATCCATGCAGACTGAGACCTCAGARCCAGACCCAGAGCCCCAGGGGGGTGACTGGGTATTCTGTAGTTTTCTTTCCAGCTGCCAGCCTTGCTGGCATCTCAACCTGAAAGGCCTCTGAACAAGGTCAAGAGATAGGGTGAGTTTCCCTTTCCTTGAATCTGCTAGGAACTGTCTTTTAAAAACTGCTTCTCATCCCTCCAGGTTCCTTTTAAAAAGGCTCTAAAACATAAGGGAGATTTCTGAATGGGCTAAAGGGATTCTAGAGATTAGCTGGCATCYAATTGTTCAGAATTTTGTGGGTCTCCTTCTTGCCCTCCTTTGTCTCAAAAGTCCTTTCTTTTAAATAGTTAAAGGAGAAAACAGGGTGCAGAAAGGATCCGCCTGGACACCTGCTCCTTCAGGCCACCTTCTCATTCTGCAGGTGAAACACCACAGCCCGAAGCTCAGCTGACTTGCCACCGGCCGTGGCTGGGTTGGGACAGCACTTCAAGTCCCCTCTCTTATTTTCTGATGCGATTCTTCTTCATGGCCACTACCCGTCAGCCGGCTCCTGGACCTGGGATGGTGAAATAGTGGGGGAATTCAGACTGGTGAAACAGAAGCCATGAAGAGAGGGATGTGGGCAAAGTGACACTCCCTCAGCTCCTGCTCCGTCCTGGTGGAGGGTTGTCAGGAAGGTCTCCTCTGTTGGGACAAACAGAGCCACTCTTCAGCTCTTCAGAGCCACCTCCCATCATGTCACACAGACCCCAAACACAGGCTGGCAGGGGAGGAAAGGTGCCCATGAGCTAGATTTGTGTAGTCTGTGCAGCCCCTTAACGGAGAAGGGTATCTGCGCCTCCCATGTGGTCTTAGCTGTCCCCTAGTCAACATGGCAGGAGGGATGTAGAATTTAGAATCTAGATGATAGTTGATCACTCGCATGACCTGAGTAAATTACTTAGTCCTTCTCAGCCTCAGCCTCCTCCGGGATGATGAGATGCAACCAGGCACTTGAAATTGTTCCTGGGCACAGTAGGTGGGTAACCCAACCTGTCCCTTCTTCCATTCTTCCTACATTCTTACTCTACAAAGTGGGGAATGGTAACCCGGAGAGGTGAGCTTGCCCACGGCTGTGCTGCCAACCTGGGCTGGAAGTGGGCAGAATCCTGGTCTGCTGGCCCCTCGTCCAGTGCTGTGTCTAACAACCCACGTTGCCCCTGGATCTGAAGAAAGCCAGGTGCAGGGATCCTACCCTRCAGGGAGGGCTGATGCCATTGCGGGATAACCTAGGACTGGAACAGGGTGCTCTCTTCCAGGCTTCTCCCMGTCACATGGTGTTAGGGTGCCTGGCTGGTTATGTTTCTCTCAGGGAGTTTCAGGGCTTCTCTCCATTTCATATTTTTAACGGAAGCCAGACTTACTACAGAGAGAGCAGGCTTGGCGRCAGAGAGGCCTGGGTTCAAGTCACAGCTCGGCCACATATTACACCTGGTAGGCCACTGCATCTCTCTGACCAATATGGACTTCATGGGGTTGTAAGCACAATRCCTGACCCACTATGGCTGCTTCATTAACACATGCTCTTTTCTTTTCTCCCAGCAGCCTGCACAAGAAAGATCTAGAAAGAAAAGCTGGGCTGCAAGCCTATTGGGATGCTTGAGGCCCAAGCTCCACCTGGGACTTAGAATTTTCATTATTTCAGTGGTCTGAAATTTCACCTAAGAGATAAATACAACTCAGATTGTGGAGTGTGTAAKGTTTTCCCAGCACCTGAGCACTTTACACGCCAATTTAAGCCCTCAACACAAACCACCTGGGAAAGGTACTGGTGCTCATCCTATTTATGGAAGATGTAATTAAAGGTCATGGGAGTTAACGAGATGGATCATGATCACCCAGTTAATTAAAGCAATTTGAACACAGGTCTCGGTGACCTTCAAGTTGATGCCTGCTGTCCTATGTCATCCTGAACACTGGGGGACACCTGCATTGGGTATGGAGAGTGCTGTGCCAACTTCACAGGTGCATCCAAACTCAGGTTGCCAGCTACCCCTCCCCCATTTAGTTGAACATCTTCAATTGTCTGTGTCACCAGAGGCAATGGCCATCAAGGCCAGCAGACATGAATGAGGCCCCTGATTCCTCGAGTTTTCAAACAGGGGTGACATTTAAGCAGACTCTCTTGGCTTCCCATGAATGTCAACAGGGAACCATTCACGGCTTGTCAGATGTGACAGGAGAAGAGGAGGTCATGGATTTTAAGGCATAGCCCTAGATATTATGTTCAAATTTCTGGGAGGGGAAATGCTTTCAGATGAAGGGATCTGCCATGGGCTAAGACATGGAAATGAAGCCCCATAGGTCCCCAGGGAGCCGACCTTTCTAAACACTGGCTGAATGGCTCTCTGCTTGGCCTGTTGGGCACACACTGTAAATCCTAATAGCAACGAGATGGATAATGAATGTGACTCAATCGCTGCCATTTGTGAGCACCCTCTCCGTGGCGGACCCTCACCTAAGTCCTTGCACGTATCACCTCTGCTGTTTTACAAGTCTTCAAGGTGGGTGTTGCAGACATGGAAATGTCTGCGTCCCACAACCAGTGAGTGGCAAGAGCTGGGCTGACATGCAAGCGTGTTTGATTCCATGAGCCAGATCTTTTTAGCGCAGCAGGGTTAGCCATGCAGGGTTCAAATTAGGGAAGTTGAAGAGAACAGCAAGTGGTGATATATTTCATACTGGGCCCCTCAATTTATAGATGAGAAAACAGACCAGCGAGTAGAAGGAATAATCCAGTAGTGTCACTATGAAGACCAAGCAGGACTGTGGACGGTCATTTCCCTCCTTTGGAGATTGAGTGAGGAGCCTGCAGGGAGACCTTAGGGTGTGGGATGAGGCCAGAGGCCTGGGGAAGCCAGGTTGTGGGGCTTAGTGTCTGGCTCCCCAGCCTGGCAGGTGGGAATATGCCTAGAGAAGCCCAGCAGGGGGCGCTAGCTGGGAAGCACTGATAAGAGCTGTCAGAAGGAGTGCATGACACTGCTGTGGCAGGGTGACATTCCCTGGACAACCGTACCTTGCCCTAGGCTTCCCCCCTTCCCTCTTCTTCCATTGGTCCATAAACTCTAAGGAGAAAAGCCTCCCATTCACCCTTCCTTCTAATCCCAACATCTTCTATTCTTTTCATTGCTAGGAGTCATTCTGACCCAGGATGTCTTATAGAATTACAAAATGACTGAAGGCCTATGAGTGACACAGGAACCTATATTCTCAGAGCAGGCTGCATGAACAAYCAACATGGCTACCCATCACTGGATGCAACGATAGGTTATCTCAGGAATGCTGCCTAATGCTCCAGAGTCTGGAGGGAATCAGACTGTCCTGGAGCAAGGTGCACATGAACTCTCAGGTGTCCAGGGTTGCTGGGAGGCTCAACTCTGTCTGCCAGGCTCAGCTTGGCAGATGAGCAGCACCTGCCAGGGGCCTTGCTGTCTGATCTCATCCCCCATTGCTAATGGCGGGGCAGGGAGAAAATATTCTGGAGGATGGATGTGACACATGTACACAGGCAAGAGAGCCTGGTAGGGCCTCYGGACTGATGTTCCTGTGAAAACCCAGACCACTGACTTGTGGGTGAGGACCACAATTCATGCCAGGCCAGAGGCTTCTAGTAGGAGGCTGTAGGTACCATGCATCCTGATGGTGGCAGCAGAGACCAGCTCAGGAGCCACATGGCTCCCCTGCTGTGGCTGGCTGTGGCTTGGATCCAATCAATTTCAGTTCTTAGCACTTCTGAAACCCTGTTGGCTGCGAGTGTCTGGCAGGACTCAGAAAAAAAAAAGCTTTTTTTTTTTTTTTTTTTTTTTTCAGCCCTGGCACAAATATACTCTTCCAGTCACTGGGTGGGGCAAGTGATCTGGAAGGGCAGGTGAACTGTGGGTGCCCTTCTTGGGACAAGCAGGGGAGGTTTTGCTAACCCTCCCTGCTGCTTCTACCAGAAGCAGAGAAATCATGCACCCCCTGACCAGGGCCAGAGCTGATGCTGGTCTGAATGGCCAGAGGGAGGAAGTCTGTACTTGAACCTAGCCCACATGGCCTATAATACCTGGTGGGAACATCGTCCAGACAGATGAGGACATTTCCAGAGACAGCCTGGGGTTTAGAGGATCATAAATTTTTTTTTTTTTATCTTAGTTTCCCTCTCACAGGGGCCTTCACAGAGTTAACAATGGTCCCATAGGAGTCGGGACCATGAACAAGGACACAGAGCTGATATGAAGGCAGCCAGGGTCAGGCAGAAGTGAGGGGCCTTCAGTATGGAGATGGGCTCTGTCATTCCCAAGGGGCTACCAGAGTCTACTTTGAACAGCATTCATAATTCACTTTAGAAAATAAGATGTTCTACCCCCAGCACCTGAAGGCTCCTTTCAGAACATCAGGAGTGTCCTCCTGGTACAGTCCTGGGCTGTGTCCTTGCTCCTGTCTCTGCTGACATTTGGATCCATGGTGTAGGCAGCCTCTGGGATTTTCAGCTTTGCAGCAGGATCTAATTTCGAACTCACACTTCCCAGAAGCACAGGGGGAGAAGTAGGAGTCATTTTAGAACAGCAAAAACAGGTGGGTGTGGTCTGCAGGGTCTTTGGGTCTACCCTGCCCTCTCTAGCTCAGGCAAAGGACAGCCAGGGGGTTACTGGGTGCTGAGAGTTGGGGAGAGTTGCACATCTGTGGTTCTCGAGTGCTTGGCACAGTGCCTGGCATACAGTGGGCACTTGCAAAACACTGCACTGAATCAGACAAATGGATTTTACACACCACCTCAGGGCTGACTGACTGCAAGATGGGGACTCTGGGCAAATTACTTTACCTAGCAACTTAATTCCCATCTGTAAAGGGTGGATGATGACCACAGTCCACCCTGGTACCTCGTTTTCGTTTTTTGTTTTATTTTCTCTGACTAGTTTGTTTTAAAGAAGGAATGATTAAGGAATGATTAAGAACTCACTTTGTAAACTAGAGTGTCCAAGACACATGTAAAGGGTGGAAAAGTAAAAAGCTGTCTCTTGTGTGGTTCCTTCTCAAACACGACCATTAATCATTTTATTGGGGCAGGAGGTTCATAAATTCAAAGCCAGCCTCAGCAACTTAGCAATACCCTAAGCAACTCAGTGAGATCCTGTTTTTTTTTTTTTTTTAAATGTATCTATATAGAAAAGGGCTGGGGATGTGGCTCAGTGCTAAAGTGCCACTAGGTTCAATCCGTAGTACAAAAATAAAATAAAATAAAATAAAATTGGCCAAGAGTGCTACATTGTCTCATTATCATTCTTCCATTTTAGAAGTAGGCAATCACAGTTTATAAATTATGTGTTTCCACGAGAGATGATACAGCTGCTTTTATTAAGAATGAAATATGCAACTTGCAAATATTTTCACTTTTCCTGATTAGGGTCCTAGAGCAGCAGCAGGCTGCCTGCAAACACGGAAAGTTTGTGTGGCTTAATGAGCAGGCGGAAGTGGCGCCTGGGAAGAATCTAGATTCCAGATTAGAAAATATCTGGGGGGAGTCTAATGCCAAGCGGAAATCCCAGCTCATGTTAAAGGCACGGACCACTCACACTCATCCTGGGTTCACTGCCTGCGCTGGAGGAGGCCTCTGCCCTGTGGGAAGCCTGTTGAGGTCAAGGAGCGCCCGTGGCATGACCTCAAGTCAGTACAACCAACAGGGCTGATGCCAGTGCAGGTCGACTGTGGCCAAAGCGTCCACCATTAGCTTCCTCCGACATGGCTGGGCACGTGTGAAAAACTGTGTTCCTTTCTAGATAAACAGGAATAAAGTGGTGGCCATACAGAGGGGACAGATGGGGGATAGGACCAGGGCCAAGGCAGCCCTATGAAAGAGACTTGAAGGTCAAGGATGAGCAGATTGGACAAAGAACGCTGCTCTTCAGAGCCATTCCATTGCTCCCAGATTGTTAGATGGACTGATTTGTGTGGTTTCAGAAGGCATAGCTTGGGGTCATGGGGTAAAAATTATAAGGGGGCCAACTTCAGGCCCCCAGGAGAGCAGGAGAAATCCTGAAGGGTCCAAGAAGAAGAGGCTGTCCAGGGAGTGAGGAGTATGGTGGGAGCTCTCATCACTAGAAGGGTCCAGGGAATGGCAACCAGGTGGGGTGGGATGGGGCTGAGGCCAGTGAAGATCCTTGCAAGGTTACCAGAGAAACTGAGAAGATCAACCACCTGGAGAAGACGAAGGAAGCCCTAAGGTTCTGAGAGACCACAGCACACTCTTTATGGAGACATCGGGGAAAATGTCCCCCGACTCCTCACTCACACAGGGACAGGCAGCAGTAAGGAGATGCTGGTGGACCTCACGAGAGCAAAATGGAAGGATGAGGTCCACCCTGCACCCAGCTCATACCACCCAAGAACAAATAAAGCGGGCTGGGGGTGGCGTGCAGGTGGAGAGGAGCTAAAATGCACATAACCACATAACTCTCAAGCCTTCCTTTAGCTGCAAGAGCCATGTTGTTGTTGTTTTTCCCCCTAAGGCCCATGGAACTCCCCACTGCATGGAAGCATTACCTCCTCTTCTTTCTCAGGAGAAGGGAGTGAGGAGGAAAGGAATGAAAAGACAAGAAGGAACRCAGAGGAGGAGAGGTCAGTGAGGACTTGGCTGGTTGGGAGGCTGTTTCTTTGGAAGGCTCAGCTTTCACCCTCTGACTTCATGCCATGTTACTGTAGGGTCTGGCAGGCTGCCCAGGAGGCAGGGCAGTGTCATGGCAGGAGCACTGGCTGGAAGGTGCTCTAAGGTCCAGTCCCAGCCCTGCCTGTGACTCTTGGAACCTGAGTAAGCTTTTTACTTTTTTTTTTCTTCTTCTTTTTTTTTTTTCCTGAAAAATACATGGTTGGATTAGATTGTCTGTAAGGTCCTCCCCAGCTCTTGGGAACTGTGGCTTTATGACCTGAGGACATTTGAGCCATGGCCTGGTGGGTCCCAGAACCAGGGACAGGGTGAAGCTGCGATTCTTGTCTCCTGCTCCCTGGTTTCCTGGGACTCAGGGAACCTTGCAGCCCACTGGGTGGGGGTGGGAGAACTCTAGGGCGAAGGATGAGTACTGTTGGCATGGTGGGYGGAGAGGGAGGAGGGAGGGGAGTGGGGAGAAGCCAGGCACTTACAGCAGGAGGAGATGGGTACRCTGATGGCCAGGATCACCCAGACGATGTCCATCTTGCTCAGGCAGATGGTGGTTCTGTGCTGGGGCTTGTCTCCTTCAGCCACGTGGGAGATGTTCCCTGCTGTTCCGGGCTTCCAGGTCCCGGCGGGGACCAGGCGGTTGAGGAAGTTTCCTGTGGCTGTGGACACCACGGTGGAGAGAGGACTGGGCACCCTGTCGGTCACGGTGGGGGAGGCCGCTGCCTCCTCCTCGGCTGGAGAAACAGTGTTTTCTGAGGCCCCGGGGGGACGGGCTGGGGCCTGTGGGGTTGTGGATGCTCCCTGAGGAATCCCCTGGGAAGGGGCTGAGCCACTGGCATCAAAGGCAGCCTGTGTGGACCCCGGGGCAGCTGGGAAGACCCCAGAGCTGCCAGACGGAGGTCTGTTGGTGCCAGGGGTGACAGTAAGCCAAGAGTCACTGTGGCTGGGGCTGTCCTGCACGTCACCACGGGGGCGTTGAGAAGGCACTGGGGCAGGTTGTGGACGGGCAGGGGCACCTGAGGCAGCGGTGGCGACCGGCTCCCCTCCTGGGCTGGTGAAGGTGGGGACACCCCCCTGGTCTGCTCTGCTAAGGCYTGGCTTGTCCTCTGCAGGCACCGCAGGGGTAGTGGGGGGTGCCCACGAGGTACTTCCGGATGCTGTGGTCACAGCCACTGTCTGGGGCTGTGGCGAAGAGGCGTTCCCCCAGGGTGGTGTCCTGGGGGAAAGGRCCAAGGGTTCGGGGTCCACAGACCCTGTGAAGTTGCCCTTGTAGATCTGGAATATCTTCCCCAGGGGTCGCTTCGGCCCYAGGTGCGTGGAGCTCTGATTGCGTCCTCGGTGGCCTTCTTTCCTCCCAGAGTAGCCGCCACCGGGGGCAGGTGGGACAGGGCGCAATGAACCCCCAGCCCCCTTTCGGGAAGAGCCGGGGGGCCTGGGGGGCCTGCGGGTGGTAGCCCGGGGGACTGCGGCGGTGGGCCGGCTGGTGACTCCTGTTGGCTTTGTCAGCAGGATGGTGGGGGCGGCCTCCCCCGGGGGGCGGCCCTCTGAATGCGAGGGTGTGGTTGCCATAGGAACTGGAGGGGAACCTGTGAGCAGGGGCCTTTCGGGAGGGGGGGTGGTTGCTGTCACCACGACGGTGGGAACAGTGTTTGTAGGAGGGTGCCCATCTGGATGGGCTGTCGTTGCCGTGGTAGCTGCGGCCTGTGAGGAGGGTTCATCGGCATGGGGGTTCGTCGCCGTGGAGGAGGGTCTTGTAGGGCTGTGGGATGCTGTCACCATGGTGCCTGGGGGACTGCCTGAGGGGAGGACCTGGAGAGATTCCCTGGGAGATGGTTCCTGGACAGCAAGTACCAGTGCTTCGGTCAGTGCCAAGGTCAGGAGGAAGCCTGGAGAGGGAGACAGAGAGGAGAGRTGAGGTCCCCGAGGAGCTGTTTTTAGGGGCTCCCTCCTTACCCATGACCTTAGAAAGCTTTGGGATTGCAGGGGATGCATCAGGAGCATTTTTGAGGCTCACACTGATGCATGACACTCAGTGGGACACAGAACCATATGTGCAGCTGGACATGCCTATGRCGTAGGTGCCACCAGCACAGGCTAGGAAGAGATGCCAGCACCAGGAGACCCAGAGCCAGTGGAACTGGCTAGACCGTCCTTTCTCAAATGTCTTAGGCCATTAGCCTCTGCCTAAGGCAAAGCAGGAGCCTCAGAGGCTGTGGCTTCCACGGTACCTCGTCTTCTACAGCTAAAGAGTGAGCAAGGCCAGCTTGGCCACATGAGCCACTCAGAACTGCCTGAGGAAGGCCGGCCGGGCAGAGCGAACCAGCTCCCCTTCCCTTCTCTGAACTGGACAAAGGTACAAATGTTGAGCCTCTGCTCACCAAGACCGAATCACCAAACAATTAAAGAGGGGCTACCCTCTCCTTGACCCTGAGGACCCCAAATGGAGCAGGGCAGCACCTGGCCCTGGATGAGCTTGCATAAATCCACAAACAATCCTAAAAGAAGGCAGAGGTGTCTCAGTGTCAAAGAGGAGGGACAGAAGGAAGGGGACACTGGTCCAGGGAAAGGGCATCCAGACCAGACACCCATAAAGCACTTGATACAGAGTTTGGAATAGAAAACACACTCTATGCAAGTCAGCTGGCATTGTAATTTTTGTTATTAGTAACAGCTCTTCCGATGGCACCTAAGTGGCTGAACTCTGAAAAATCTCCTGGGTGGTACCCAGTCTTTTTGAGTAGGAGGAGCCCTTTTGAACATTAAAAAAAAAATTGCATGATAGTCAATGTGTGTACTTTTTAGTTCATTGAAAAGATGCAAAAGATAAAAACCTATACATTTAAAAACATTTCTAAATATGCATGGTCTTATTAATCTTAGCAGCATGAGTCAGTCTTTAAAAATAATATCTCATATACACCGTCGGATCCCTCAGATCACAGACTGCCAGGTGGACTGGGCCCGCACGTGGGTTAGGAAGAGCTGGTCTCTCCTGCTGAGGAGYGGCAGACATTTCCTAGGTCCTGATTCTGACCTGCCCACTCCCCTTTGTTCATATGAACACACTTCTTTGCGATTCTAGACTTTGGCCCCTGGACTAACTTTGTCAGAGCTCTTGTCCAGATTCCAGCAGGACATATGGTCAATGCAGGGGCCCCAAATGGGATTCACACACTGGCTGGGAGGGCCAGCAGCTGCTGACAGGGCAGGGACCCAAAGCYCTGTGATCACCTTAGGTACGTGTGTAGACCCCTGTGCCTCTCACCTGAACTTCTAAGTGAGAGGTGAAGGGTTAAGTAACTTGGGGTTGAGTGAAGGTTACCATGCCCATCATCCCTAGGACCAATAATGGGCCCTAAGYAGCCTATTCTTTTAGGCATTCATTCATGGCTTCAATCATACATCAACAGAGCACCTGGCTTATTTCAGTCAGTCCTAAAAATGTGCTTGATTTAATCCTCACAACCACTTTGCACAGTGGGAAACTGAGGCTCGAAGAGATCATATCAGAAGTATGTGAAACCAGTGTTATCTCTAAAATGTATGCTTTTTCTGGTCAACTGCCCCCATTAATGCAGGAAGAGGAAGAGGAACCTAAATTGCAACCACAAAAGAAACAATGTGTTGCTATGCTTGTTGGCTCTGTGTTATTTCAGCTCCCCCTTCACCCCGCCCCATACACCTTGCACCTTAGCACCAAAGGAACAGTCTTGAGGCTGATGGGCAATCGCCAATGTTTCATAGAATATTCCCTTAAAAGCCCCCAGGTTGTTTCATGAGTGACTTGGTCTGATATAAATGTTGTTAAGACCTGAATTGTGTCCCCCACCCTGAATTTATATATGGAAGTTCTAACCCTCAAGAATCTCAGAATGTGACTATATTTGGAGATAATCAAGTTAAAATGAGGCCAATAGGGCAACTTTAATCTGGCCAACTGGTGTTCTTCTAAGACGAAGAGATTAGAACCTACAGAGTGACACCAGGGGCTTTGTCTGCAGAGGGATGAAATTGTGAGGTCAAAGCAGAAAGTGTGTAGGTGGTAGGAAAGAGGCCTCAGGAATCCAACCCTGCTGCCATCTTCATTTTGGACTTCCTGCCTCCAGAACCCATAAAGAGGTATTTTGTTATAGCAGCCTAGCCAACTAATACAAACTAATACAAGCATTTGTCTGAAAAGGGAGAGACAGAAACAGGGGCTTGTGTGCAGGCAGTTTATATTGGAGGTGATGTGAGGTCAGCTGTCGGGGTCTGAGATGAGTGAAATAGGGAAAAACCATCCGGGGCAGCTCTGAGATGATGGGATGGGCAACTCAAACTCACTGGGTATGTCTGAGGAGCTGGGTATGCTGAACCCCACATTGCCTGCTTGGAGAATACTCCTCACCTAGGGGCTGTCCTCTGCACTAGCCTGCACTAGCCGAGTGGGCCTCCCCTGCACTCACTCCCTGGACCTCATGAGGCTGAGTCAGGGAAGCCTTGGGCCTAGGGTCTGACAGATTATGCCTGCACTCAGCTGATGGGGCTGCAACAGCTGGAGTTAAACCATAGACTCCTGAGGATTGCCGGGGCAAAGCCCCAGATGTGTCTGATACAATCACAACCCAGAGACTAAGGACACAGTGGTCTTTTGGCAGAGTCCAGGGTGGCACAGAGGTTTGGGAAAGATACCAACTGGCCCCACGGACAGGCTTGCTGTGAAAGAGCAGCCACTCTGGCCTCCAGGAGAATTTTTTTCAGAGGCAGAGGGGTTATAAGGCCTAGTCTTCAAAATACTCAGGGAGAGAAATTGCCCTGACTTCCCCACTGTGAGCACTGCACAGGCTCAGAGCCTCCCGGCAGGAAGCCCAAAGAACTTGCTAGAACTTACTCTGTAAGTCTCTTGGCCCTTGCTGCTGCTGTTTTTCTGCATCCTGGAAGTTATAAGTCCTCTCTAGGAGGACTGTGAAATGACCTCTCAGCCACTTCTTTAATCTTTTTTTTTTCCTTCTTCTTTCAGTACTGAGGATTGAACATAGGGGTGCTTAACCACTGGGCAACACCTCCAGTCCTTTTAAATTTTTTATTTGAGACAGGGTCTGGCTCAGTTGCTTAGGGCCTCATGAAGTTGCAGAGCCTGGCCTGAAACTTATCCTCCTGCTTCAGCCTTCGGAGTTGCTGGGATTACGGGTGTGAGCCGCTGTGTGAGATTAGAGTGAATCCTTGATATAACRAACAGGTACGGCCATCATAGGCTTTTACCTGGAGGATGACACTTGGACGTCACAATGAAGAGCCCTGAAGTTCACCTAATGCAATCCCTTCATTGCACACAGGGAGACACTGGCGGAAGGGACTTGTTGGAGAACACACAGCTGGCTGGGGAGACGGCCAGGACCACGGGACCATGGGACCACGGGACCACGGGACCACGGCCATGATTTCAAAGCAACTTTTCAATTGTATCATAAAATCAYGGCCCCAACATGCCCTTCCACCACCATTGCCACCTTCATTATGGAAATCAGACAGGAGTTCACCTCTCCTCCTTGGCACGAAATGTTAGCAACTGAATGTGATGCACACTGTCACAATAAACGTGCAAGGCCTTCAACCTGGGCTCCCCTAACACATGCAAATTTTCATTCAAGACCCTTTGTGCTGGCCTACACACTCCCCTCCCCACAATCTGGGGCTACTGCTGTTTTGCATATCATTTGCATTGATTTGCATAATGGACTCTGGAGGCTCTAATTCCAAATATCAAAGAGAGACTAAAACGAAAATCTAGCTTGACATGCTTAAAATGTGGAACCAATTTTTAAAACGTGTCAGAATAAGGGTAGGTGTTGGGGATGGAAGCCCACAGATTGACAGATGCCCAGATGTCGCAGGAAGACTTCCTTCTTCCTAGAATTCCACTGCATAAGTGATCTCAGGAGCCAAGGGAAGGAAAGGGACTCCTTCTCGTGTGTTTATTTGGTTGGCTGCCTGTACTCCATAGTGGGCATGACATTTGCATCTGGCAAAGGCAATTGGTAAAAAAAAAAAATGTCTAGTATTGTTTAATACACTGAGCAATTCCTATGTGCCACGTACTACTCAAAGGTAACCTGCATGGACATACTTAATCCTCTAGCAACCTGATGAGGCAGGTACTATTACTAGCTCCCTGTTACAATTGAGAGAAAGAAGCCAGAGGGGTAGAGGAACCCGTTCATGGTCACACAGCTGGGGAATGGCAAGCCGGGATTAGAACCTGGGAAGTGTAGCCCTGGAATCTAGACTATCAACCACTTCACTTACCAAGCCTGCTCTGCTGTCCCACCCCTCTGCCCCCTCAGGATGCTCYGCACAGTCAAAAGTAATGATCTACAATCTTTGGTAATTATTTTCCCTTGCTGGTCTCTTCTCTCTTACTTATTTCCTTCTATCTTGATTCCAGGGCTTCGTTTGACACATTTGATATTCTTTTAAATAATTTCATTAATTAGCTTTATTGTGCATGTATGGGGGTGGGGGTGGGGAAGCTTGTATCAGGACAATAARAGCATCAGAAACCCCTGCTTTAATTCACTCCTCTTTCCCAATTCTGACATATCTTGCATGCCTTTGTTTGGGAGAAGAAAAATTACATACATAAATTAAATTTTTCTTAAAATTGCTTTTACACACAGACACACACCATATTTGATCCATGGATAATTCATAAAAATAGAAAATCTATCTCATTTCCTTGCAATTTTAAATATCTTCTTGTAAGTAGATCGATCTCCTTTCACATTAAACTAAGTTTCTACTGCAAGATCTTTTTGGCTATTTTTTTTCCTTTGGGTACCAGGGATTGAACTCAGGGGCTCTCTACCACTGAGTCACACCCCCATCCCTATTTTGTGTTTTATTTAGA